GTCTGGAATTTTCTATTCTCCTGTGACCACCCTGTATTATTCCTGTTTCATCGTCACCTCCTCTTGAATTTATTTTCTCCCTATGAATTTATCCTTAAAAAAAGTTATTTTTTTTACTGTCATTTTCGTCGTCAGAAATAAATGCTTCTGTTAGATTCTCTGTGTTTACCAGAAGTTATAGAACTTTCTTTTCAATAATGTTCATTGTTGAATATTCATTACGTTATATATTCCTAGGGCATTTATTGGTAATTACCAAACAAAAGTCATTTTACCCATTTGTGTTGTATAATAAAAATTCCATCTGATGCAACACTAAATCTGCATTATGTTTTTCCTGGGCTGGGTGTTTCTTTTAGGTCAAAGCTGGAAATATTGGTAGGACTCATAAAAGTAAATAGCTATATAGTATTTTTGTGCTTAGCAAAGGCATTTTTATTTTATCTATTATCTGAACTATTAAGCAGTTTCAGTGACCTTCATTTAAATGATTTGAGAATGAGACAGTGAAACATTTAACAATTCTTTATTTGGATATTGTTGTGGTGCCTAAATTTCAGGTCTATGGAGGAAGTATTTGAAGATTGAGCATGTTTGAAATATTATAGGATGGCCAGGTGCAGTGGCTCATGCCTGTAATCCCAGCACTTTGGGAAGCCAAGGCAGGCAGATGTCTTGAGTCTGGGAGTTTGAGATTAGCTTCAGCAACATGGCAAAATCTCGTCTCTACAAAAAATACAAAAATTATCCTGATCTGGTGACAAGCGCTTGTAGTACCAGCTATTTGGGAGGCTGAGGTGGGAGAATTGCTTTAGCCTGAGAAGTGGAGCTTGCAGTTAGCCGAAATCATGTCACTGCATTCCAGCCTGGGTAACAGAATGAGACCCTGTCTCAACAACAACAACAAGAACAACAACAAGAACAACAACTATATATATATATATATAAAAATACATATATATATATATATGTATATATATGTATGTATTTCACTTTCTTGTGTATATATATGAAAGTGAAATTGAAAGATAGCAATATTTACACAGTGTTTTATCATAATCAAAAATATATCCATGTTAATAGAAGCCTAATTACTGCCATATACTCAAAATACTATTTGGATCTAGTTTTTAATGGAGGTGAAATTCACAAAGCATAAAATTAACCATTTTAAAGTGAACAATTCAGTGGCATTTAGTATGTTGACAATGGTGTGCAGCCATCAGTCACCCCACCTTGTTCCAAAACCTTTTTATCACCTTCAAAGGAGACTCTCAAACCAATTAAGCAGTTACTCCTAGACCACAGCAGCCACCGATCTGCTTTCTGTCCTATAGATTTACCTATTCTGGATATTTCATAGAAATGGAATCATACAGTATGTGACCTTTTTGTGTCTGACTTCATTCACTTAGCATGTTTTTAAGGTTCATCCATATTGTAGCATGTGTCACTACTTAATTCCTTTTTATGCGTATAGCATGGACATTAGAAAATTTGGTGAGAAAGTATTTCTAATGCAACTGATAAATACAACAAGCCAGAGAAAGCCTTTAAAATACCTAGCATTAGTTATATTTTGTTTTAATACTTTTAAAAAACCTAATTTTGTATGTTTTGATGTATTTCTTAATAAGGTATAGGGAGTACTGTGAGTCTGTGGACCAGTTACCATCATAGCATTTCTCAGTTAAAGTCTCTAGACATGTCCCCAACGTTATGAGAGAGACTGAGTGGAAGCTATTGGTAAAATAGTACAAAGATATTAGTTGCCATAGACTGTTAACAGTAGAATGAAATGTTAACCTCTGTTACCTGTATTTTCCTTATGTGAAGCTAGTATTTGTTTGTTTATACATATATAGGAACTTTGTCTTTTGAGAAAATTAAATTAATACAGGTAATTCTTGGCTTAATGTTAGTAGTAGTGTCTAATACTTAGCTATGTGGTAAAGTTTACCGGTATTAATGTGCCTTCTATTTAATGTATCATTTACCATTTTATTAAGCTAATTAAAAAATAGATTTTCCTTTCTAATAGCTGTGGTACACATAACTTGAGTCTGGTTTGCATTTCTGGAAATCATTTATTGCTACTACATAGAAAAGTCTCAGCGCTGTACTATTGGGATATTTTCTAGGCAGATCAAGTCATTCAATTGCAGATCATATCATACCTTCTCATCCCTTGGAAATGATAGTTACTTATAACTAAAAGTCCACCATTTATATTTGTGCTTAGTAGATGAAATGCTATTGTGCCCACAAATACAGAGATTGAAATCATCCAGAAAAATAAGTTTGAGACTGATGTGAACACCTCAGGATCCCAGACCAGAGCTGATTATAACAGAAGCTTTGAGGCTTACCTAAGTAGATGATCCTTATAACTGAGATGCAGATAGGTATCTAATTAGTAATTATTAGTCTGTAAGACTTAGCTATACAGGGATTTTGATGATTGTATATATTTATGGATATTTATATTTTTGGTAGCCTCTTGGAAGAAGTTATTTCTCTCACAGTAAGTGTCTGAGACTTCAAAATAATATAATATATCAGCATAAGGAAGAATACATATTTACTGTTACATTCATGTTATAAAAGAATGTGTATTCTTTAATTGCTGATTGTAGCATTCCATATAGTCCTGATAAGATCAAGTTTTAAAATCTATTGTTCATATTTTTAACATTGTAATGGTTTTTGGCTCTGTTTGTTCTATTAGGTACTAAGAGAGGTGTTTTCAAGTTTCCCCCATCATTGTGAATGTGTCCACTTCTCCTGTTAGTTCTGTCAATTTTTGCTTTATGCATTGTTATAGTAAGTATGTAGAACTTTTGAGTGATTACGTCCTTCTGGTGGATTGATCCCTTTATCATGAAATTTCTCTTTCTTTGGTAATGCTTCTTGCTTTAAAGTCTGCTTTGTTTTACATTAGTGTAGCTGCCCTAGCTTTTGTTGGTTAGTTTTTGCATAATATACCTTTTCCATCCTTTTATAGTCCCAGTTTTTCTCTTTATATTTAAGATAAGAATCTTGTATGTACCATGTAATTGTATTTTATAATCCAGTTAGTCATCTTTGTCTTTTAATTGGAGTATTTGCTCCATTTCCATTTAAGGAATTACTAATACAGTTGAGTTTGTAAGTTACTATATTTGTTTTCTATTGATTTCACTTGTTTTATGTTTTCTTCTCATCTTCTTTGAGATTAATTAAACATTTTTTTTTGTTATTCTATTTTTGTTTCTCTAAAAGCTTGTTCCATTCTCTTTTACTACTCTTTTACCTGGTACTCTAGAGATGATCACATGGTTATTTGGTTTATTAGAGTATAATAAAAATTACTCTTTTTGCCTTTTCACAGACAATGCTAGGATATTAGGATGTATTCTACTCACCTTTTGACTTTTTGTGTTATTGTTATATTTTAATTGAACTCCATATATTTCTTTTTATTAGTAGTATTTCTTAAACTTTTAGGTTCAGCAGTACATATGCAGGTTTGTTACGTAGGTAAACTCAGGTCACGGGGATTTGTTGTACAGATTATTTCCTCACCTGGCTTCTAAGCCTAGTTTCCAATAGTTATCTCTTTCTGATCCTTTTTCTCCTCCCACCTTCTACACTAAAGTAGACCCTAGGATTTGTTGAAATGAACTCCTTTTTTTTTTTTTTTTTTGGAGACAGAGTCTTGCTCAGTTGCCCAGGCTGGAGTGCAATGGCGGGATCTTGGCTCACTGCAACCTCTGCCTCCTGGGTTCAAGCCATTCTCCTGCCTCAGCCTCCTGAGTAACTGGGACTACAGGTACATACCACCATGCCTGGCTAAATTTTTTTGTATTTTTAGTAGAAATGGAGTTTCACCATATTGGTCAGGCTGGTCTCAAACTCCTGACCTTGTGATCCGCCCACCTCGGCCTCTCAAAGTGCTGGGGTTACAGGTGTGAGCCACCTCGCCCAGCCTTCTGTCTTATTTTTACTTCTTTGAAGGTAATGGGCCTTGTCTGGATGCTTTTAGGTTTTTCTGTTTCTGGTTTTTAGCAATTTTGCTATGAGTGCTGAGAGCTGGTTTTCTTTGTATTTATCCTACTTGGGATTTGTAGCCCCTCTTAAATTTGTGATTTGAGTCTTTCATTGTTTTTGGAAAATTTCCAGCCCTTAGCTCTTCAAATGTTGCATCTGCCACATTCTTCGTTTCTCCTCAGCAGGTTTAATTTATGTGGAGATTTAAGTTTTCTATCCTTTTTTTTGCTTTTGTCCCTTCAGTTTCTACATTTTCTACTTAACTATCCCTGCTTCACTAATTCTCTTTCCATCTGTGTCCAAAAGACAGTTTTAAAACCTATTTTTGAGGTCTTAATTTCATTTATTTATATTTCACTTCTAGGCTTTTCCATTTGATTATCTTTAAATAGATAACAGACAGTGAAATTACTCATTTCATTATCTGTTTGGATATATTAATTACAGTTATTTTAAAGTTCATGCCTGATAACTCCCATACTGAACTACTTTAGGTCTGTTCCTGTTTCTATTTCTTGATATGTCTGGTAATATTTGGTCAAATGCCAGGTATTGTGTATAAAAACTTGCAGAGGCTCTAGATATCTTCCCTCATGGAAGATTCATTTTATCCTCTGATAGGCTTTTAGAGTAGGGCAGATTGCCCCAGTCCAGAGAGGCACTGAGTTGCCTTAAGGTAGGGTTGCAAAATGTGTGAAATCTCTTTTACCTCTTGGTTTACCCCTCCTTGCTTTCTAAGCTGTAGCCCTCCAGAAGTCGCAACTGAAGGCCTAGGCTCCTCCTCTCCTCAGCACCACAGGACTACCAGAAATTCCTGTTTCTCACTTGTTTATTTTTTTGTTTTGGTTATTTTGCTGCTTTATGCTTTGATTTTTAGCTTCTTGTATTATGTAATTTAAAAAATTGTCAAATATCTTTAAGGTAAAACTGTCAAGTGTTGAGGTCACATCTCTGCAACTCCCTTCTTTCAGGAACCTTGGCAGCTCTGAACTTCAGTTTTTGCCTCCACTCCTTTGAAATTGCTGACAGCTCTGATGACTTCTCTGCCTCTAACAGCTGCCCTTGCTTGGCCTGGGTTCCACTGGACTTTGCTCCACGTACCTTTTTTTCTTTGCTGATTTTGCTTTGTATCCTTTCACTGTAATAAGCCGTAACTGAATTTGACTGTGTGCTGAGTCCTGTGAGTCTTCCTAGCAAATCACTCCCTACAGTGGTCTTCGGACCACTGATAAGCATGTTCATTCTGAATTTCTGTTAAGATTGGTTGTCCCAGAGATTCTAATGTTCTGCTGAGAATGATCAGAGACAGATGGTACCGTGATCCTTTTATGGATGTGTGCAGCTGAGGCTCAGAGGGAGAAATTTACTTGAGGCCATCCATCTAGAAATTCCTGTCAGAATCAGGAATTGGATTGAGGTCTAACTCTAAAATTCCCATTCCTTTATTGTATCTTGTATCCTCCAAGTATATAACCAAAATTACTAAAAGATAATGGTTTCAATTTTTGAAATGCTCTTGTATAATTTGGATAATTTAATCATTTAACACTTACATTATGTGTAAGTAATGTTTTAGATCAATGACAAAATAAGTTGGTGCTTAGTGACATAGTTAATTGCTGCTTCCCAAAGCCAGCTTAGTCATACAACTGCTCCTTGACTTACAGTGGGATTATGTCACAATAAACCCACCGTAAGTTGAAAATACTATAAGTTAAAAACCTATTTTCTACACCTAACTACCAAACATCACAGCTTAGTCTAGCCTACATTAAACATACTCAGAACACTTAAACAGTAGCTTGCAGTGGGCAAAATCATCTAAGGCAAAGCCTGTTTTATAAATAAACTGTTGGATATCTCCAGTAATTTATTGAGTATTATACTGAAAGTAATAAAACAGAATGGTTTTGTAGCACTGTCAAGTCAAAAAATTGTAAGTGGAACTGTTACAAGTTAGGGACTGTCCATATTTTTTTTTAAAACAAAAGTACAAATAAATTAGCAATTTTTTTTTCAAATAGAAAAATATTCTCGTTGGATATTTTGTATGCTAGTTCTTTGTGTGTATGCATGTATGTCTATGTGCTGTAGCCATTTAAACCTGACAAAAATTGTTACTTGCATTTTCTCTGGATAACTTTGTTTACTTTGTGATATTTGGGAGATGTTATATTTATCTCTCACAAGATAGGAATAAAATTTTATAAATTATATAAATGAAATACCTCTGGTATTTGTACAAATAGAAAGATTTTCTTTCACCCTAAATCTGACATTTCAATACAAGAAAATAAGATACAATCAGCAATTCACAAATTGCTGATAATTTAGACAATGGCATATTTTTCTGTGCATCATTTTCAAAAAGCTTTCCCTCATGATATTCCAACTCCATGGGCAGTGGTTTGCTTTCATCGTGCCTGTTGTAGGTCATGGAGCTGAAGATCTACATTCTGGTGTCTTGGATGGCAAATGAGCTCTTGTGGAAAGAGCCTATATTTGAGGGAGATGGTGAATTTTTTAGGTTTATTTTTATTTTATGCTTAATAGCTTAACATGAGGGTAGCCAGAAAACTTTCTGAATCTGCATAAAGCAAAAGTTTTTTTCTGTTCTCTTTAGAAATCAGTTGGAATTATAAACCTTTTCTGCATCATAATGACACCATACAGCAGAGAATTTCAATGCATTCATCCTGTGAGAAAGGCTCTTTGGGTGACAGTTTTGATGTTTTTCTTTAAGCAGCATAAACAGGATTTGGTTTTGGGCTAAAATACTGTTTTCTTTAGAATGAAATATTTCTGAATTGCTTTTGGTTTAGTCTATTCAGAGTAGAAGGAGAAACGTTAAGGCAGGTGTACATAGGGCAGCTGTCAGAGGAGGAAGCAGAACCAGGCAAAAGGAGTAAACACGTGAAAGAAATGGGGGAAGCCAGGAAACGGTGGCATTAAAACAAAGTAATCATAATGGGAAATCATTAAGTACTGGTTAGACTTTCTTTTTCTTATGAGTGTAAGAATTTTTGGACTCTTACCTGCTTATGTAAAGCGATTATTTTATAACGTTAGGGCGAGTGTCCTTGAAGTCTTTTTTCTTAAGTGAAGGTTTTGTGAGAATCATAGGAAATAATGTCTATGAAAGCATTTCCTAAGTTGTAAACTGCTCAAAACCTATGTTGAAATTATTAATAAAAGCAAAGATGAATTGCTGTGATTGGTCTTGTGCCTCAAAGTTCGTTCACTAAAGTAAAATCAGTGGGATGAGGTAATAGAAAACTTGAGGATTTCATCAACCTCAAGGCTTTTCATAGAGTTTAGCAAACGTTTATTGAGGTGCCTGCAATGTGTCATGGCCTTCTGGAAGCTGACAGGAGGTACTCAGATGGGCAAGTCACAGTTCTTGATCTTAAAGGTGCTTGTGATTTAGTACTGAGAAGATATGCACACAAATGAGTGGTTTCAATTGCATACAAAAAGTGATCAGATAGAATGTACAAGGTACAAAGGGAATATAGAGAAAGGACATATATCCTAAGATGGGCTTTAAGGAAAAACATCGGAAGATGAGACTGAGGTGTGTTTTGCACAAAGAATATTTAGGAGAAGAAAGATGTAAAGTATACCTGCATTTGTCCTTTACAAAAGTATTCCTTTATAGCAACTGGATACTTATAAACTGAGACTGGATTATTTATAAAGAAAAGAGGTTTAATTGGCTGATCGTTCTGCAGGCTGTACAGGAAGCATGGTGCCACCGTCTGCTTGGCTTTTGGGAAGCCTCAGGGTGCTTTTACTCATGGTGGAAGGCAGAGCAGGAGCAGACATGCCACATGGCGAGGGGGGAAGTGCTACACTCTTTTAAATAACCAGATCTTGCATGAACACAGTGAGAATGCACTCATTACCATAACAAGAGGCACAAAGCCATTCATGACCCAAAACACCCCACTCCCAGGCCCCACCTCTGACATTGGGTATTACATTTCAACATGAGATTTGGAGGAGACACACATCCAAACCATATCAGTACCTATGCAGAGGAAACAGTGCTGGCGAAGGCTTGCAATATGAAATGCGAGGCGTGGAGTGGTCAGGATGTTGAGTGGCAGGACTTGCTTGTAGAGAACTTTGGTGAGTGATACCTAGCATACTGGAAGAAGATTGGGCTTGGTGGGGAGAACAGTGAGCTCTCCAGATGCTACATTTGAGGTGCATATGAGGCAGTCATGGGACTACATCTGGCAAGTCCATGCATGTGCAGAAGTTCAGTAGAGAAATTGGGGCCAGAAATTTGGATTTGGAAATAATCAGAATACAGATTAAAATAGATGAAGTTGTTCAAAGAGGGCATGCTTATAAGAGCTGTTGGCTAAGAAAGAATTTTTATAAATACAGTGCCTAGGTTTGAGGAGCACATGGTCACCATTGAGAAGGGACAGAAAGGAATTAAGCAAACTAGAATAGAAGGGTATCAGAATTTTCACCACAATTTTACTAGCGGTGGAGAGAGCTAGTAAAAATGGACTGAAAAACGGTGATTGGAATAGGAGTCTGGTTTTAGTGGAATGTTGGGAGTTGTAATTTTTTGTTTTTCTCTTTCCCCTATCTCAGTATTTATTCTCCTAGCTCCTTCCAGATCCCCTGATACCTTCTCTCTATTCTGTGTCTTCTCTCTCTCTCTCTCTCTCTCTCAGTCTCTCTCTCTCTCTCTCTCTCACACACACACACACACACACTTGTGCATACCTCTTTCCCTCGCTAACTTCCTCCTCTTTGCACACTCAGCCTGACTAATGTGCCTGAGCCAGCACGGGCGTCCTCCTCACGATAGCTTGATGTGCTCCGTATACTTCAATTCTAATGTAGACCTTTAAGAAGCTGTGCCTAGGAACATGGTTTTATTAGGACCTGGAGAAGCAAGAGTCAAGTATTAGGGCCAGTGTGGGTTACAGGAGTGGCGTCAGAGGAGTGGACTAGTTCCATACTCTTATTCCACACCCTTATCAGAATGGGTGATTTCAGGACACAAATGGAGTTCTTCTCATAGTCATGATGAATGAGCCAAGATCAAGAACTGACATATTTCTGAGAATTCCTTGTGAAGATGCTTCTTTTGACATCTTCCTGAGAATTCCTTGTGAATATATTTCCTTTAATTTTCCAGTTACTTGCCTTTTGTCTTAAAAGTGCACATTAACACCTGATACCAGCATCACTCTAAGATTCCTTACTGTCAAGGAGCTTATTTAGCTCCATCCTGGGCATCCTTCTTGCTCCTAAATCATACTTCTCTCATTCTGTTTCCTCACTGACTTCAGCTTATAGGACTAGGTTTTTTCTGTACACTCCTTTTGTTTAAATTGATTAACGCTCTAATATTCAGTTTCCCAAGTAGAACTAGATCCTTACTCTGGTCCCAGTGCAGTGGCTGGGCTCCCAGCAACCAGATTCACTTCTGCCAAGTCTGTTTTCAGATTGGGGGAAAGGTGGGCTAGAATTCTGCTGCCCATGGATCTCCTGAACAATGCGTGCTTCCCTGCCCACCTACCCAACACATGGATTTTGTGTTCTTCCTACCTGTTGGGAGACACTGGCCACTTCTTGTCTGTCTGGAAGCAGCCTCTATAGTTCTGGGTGGTTTCCCCAGCCCCTGTGCTGGCACAGTGCATAACTTTTTAGTACCTGTCTCTTCCTCACATTTCCATTATCATTTCTTCTTGTTATGACTGTCTCCAGGAAGAAAGTATGTGGCAAGAGAAGATTTGTCTTTTCGTACTTCCCTCTTTCCCCCTTCTTTACTTCAGCTGATTTTCCATTTATTCTTAGAATCACCTGGGACACCACTAAGAATTTGAAATACAAACTCAGAAAGGAAGAATGAATTATTATATTTCAAAAGAAACATGATAAGTCATTTTAAAAGGTCAAATAATGTTGAGCACGGTGTCTCATGCCTGTAATCCCAGCACTTTGGGAGGCTGAAGCAGGCGGATCATTTGAGATCAGGAGTTCGAGACCAGCCTGGCCAACATGGTGAAACCTCATCTTTATTAAAAATACAAAAATTAGCCAGGCATGATGGCAGGGGCCTGTAGTCCCAGCTACTCAGGGGACTGAGGTGGGAGAATCGCTTGCACCCGGAGGCAGAGGTTGCAGTGAGTCGAGATCATGCCAATTGTACTTCAGCCTGGGCAACAGAAAGAGTCTGTGTCAAAAGAAAAAAAAGAAAAAGCCAAATAATCATTTACTTTAATCTAACTTGTTTCTCTAAAGACCTAACAGATTCATACTAAATATTTTAGTCACAAATTAAAAACGGTGAAATTGTTCTTGCGAGTGTTAGGTATGTCATGAAGTCTCACATAATCCTCCAAGCCACTCAGCTTGATTTATTTGGACTACTCTATCATATTGCAAGCTCTGAACTTTTAAGAGGAAGTTTGCTACATTAGAGCAAGGTGGTTTTGCAATGCATTTTTCTCTTTAATGAGCAAGATTAAAGCAATTATAGTAAAAAGATATTCTTGCCAGATGAGTCTTGCATTCTCTTCTCAGAAAATTAGAACTATATAATCTTATTAACTTTCCCATCCCACCTTAACTTTCAGATATCTGAACTGAATTTAATACTCAGTTGCAGGAATTCTCTCATTTTAGGTGCCTAATTACATCTGCTTCTCTCTTATTTTAACAGATTCTTGTACCCTTTTTATTGTCTGATTTTATAGGTTTTAATTGCATCAGCGATAGGAAATCCTTTTTGGAAACAGGTGGGAAATAAATAAACATCCATCCATATGAAATAAAGGTAGATTTGGTCACTACCTTAGAGATTTTGAAATGTTTCTGTAGTGTTTCTTTGATATTGTGTGTTGTATAGAAATCTCACAAATGGGGAGAAATCAGAATAATGTGATATTTTTCTTGTTTTGTTGTTTTTTGTTTTTTTGTTCTTTTCGTTAATGTGATATTTTTCTAGGAAAGAATACTTTACAGAACCTAGTAGAAACGTTGTCTCAGTCCCAAACAACCTGCTTCATGAAATATTTAGAAGCACTTAGTGCTTTTAAGCAAATGTCTTATTCTGTGTCCTTAGGGAAAGTAATTAATCTGGGTATGGAGTGTTCACTTGTTTTTCGTTTTTATTCTCGACCTACGGAAACTGGGAGGGTGGGTATATGGGCTGTTTTTTATGGCAGCTAATCACTTTATAGAATTAGAGTGAGTGGTTTTAGTGTATTACTCAAGAAGCCAATTAAATGCTCACAGTTTCTTGTAAGGACTATTCAAATCATATGTTGCCTGCTTTACAGTGACAAAGTAGAATTTAAAAATAAATCTTAGCTTGCAAATTGATGAAATCTTTCAAAGAAATAACCTGATGAGAGAGTTCATTTTTTTTAAGGTACCTAATTTTAGGATATTTATTGATACTCTTGTAATTAATAATTCACGTTTCACTGCTTATTGTCAATACAAGGAACTTTCACCTATTATAAATCTCAACTTGTTCATTTGGATAAGATTTTTAAAGTGAATGCAGCTTATATTATATTGGAATCAAAGTTCAGTATGGTGAAATAATCCTATATTAGGGCCTTAAAACATAACAAAGTCTTGTTTGTTCTATGTGTTTTGGCTACAGCCCTACCACTTACGTTTTGGATGAAGATGAACCTCGATTCCTTGAAGAAGTTGATTACAGTGCAGAAAGTAATGATGAATTAGATATTGAGTTGGCTGAAAATGTGGGAGATTATGAATCTTCTGCTCAAGAAGAAGTACTTTCTGACTCTGAATTATCAAGAACATACCTACCCTGAGCCCACTGCCATCTCTTGTTAACCACAAAGAAGAAATGAAATATCTTGGTTTTTATTACACAGGAAATTTGAGAGACATGAGTTTATACAGAGCTGACTCAAAAAGTTACTTGGGCCGGTTTGGTTTCAAGACAATAAATATGTTATTCATTAATGATAAAATTGGCGCTTGTTTTATTTTAGATATTCAGTGCACTTTATGTAGCATTGAATGATCAAATATTGGATTTACTTAAAAAAAACCCCTGAGTATCATTGCATGAATTTTTATCTCCTGATGGTTATATCCTGCATCAAATGGGTAATTTTGAAGTGTGTTCAGAATGTAAAATTGAAATTTTAGAGTTGTTGAAAATCCTGAGTTGTTAAAAACTAATATATATGTACATGG